AGCTCCCTAAAGTTTAAAGTTCAATGTTTACTTAGGGGGACAGATTTGCCCTTCACTTAATCTCTTATATCTTATATTGTTACTCCTTTTTTCTTCCCACTCTAAAGTTTTATCACAGTAATCTTTAGTAATAGATAAGCCATTGACAAACAATAATCCCCTTTTGCAAATGTTCATAAATGCAATTCACTTAAACTATTTATCAATTAATTTTTATTTCCATGTAAATATATGCATATTGTAGCTTAGTTGTCTAAATTCTACTCACTAAAAATATTAACCCCTCAGGATTTTTTTTTCTGGTAATCCCTCAAATTTTAGCCAAAACATAATTTTTTTTGAATTCCCTTCAATTACAAATACCTCACATTCTAAATCCATTAGAATCATAGCTTTTTATGACTCTCATTTTTATTTTTTAATTTGTTTTATATATTCAATCACTGTGCATCACAACAGCTTGCAAAATGAATTTTCCCAGCATAAATACAATGCACACTAGTTCAATGAAAGATATTATCATACACATTTATCATCAATAGACAATCCTTCACTTCTGTGTCCCTATTTTTCTCTTCAATTCCCTTTCTCTCATCCTCCCCCACTCTCCCACCCTCCTCTCACACTGTCTCTGGTATCTGCAACCATTCTCCATGCTACTATATTCTCCAATCTTTCAGCTTCCACCACAGAGTGCAGACATTTGATATATATTAAGTGGGGACATATAATGTCTCTCTTTCATAGTCTGGTTTGTCTCACTCAGTTATAAATCTTACATATTCATCCACTTTCTATTTTTATCTTTCCTTGTTATTTGTTTCTATATTCTCTTTCTCTCTGAGAATTAATCATTAATATTTATTCATTATCTGATCTCTTGCCTTTTTGTCACAGTATATTTCTCAGAGTGAATTCCAAATGAATTGTTACTAAGTAAATATAGTAAATTTATGGCTGACATTCATAAACTATTGATTTATCTTGTCATATTTTTAGTTGACTCTACGCTATGTAAAGATGACTGTTGCAAAATATTGTCAAGTGTAGTAATATTTTTTAAATGTGTAAATATAGACTAAATTAAGGCCAGGCTCATTAAATATCTTGTCAAGAATATATCGACTTTGAAATTTCTTGACTGGTAAGCAAGCAGCTAAAAATTTCATTGCTCTGAGAGCATGGGAACCAGTATCTATACATGTTGAGGTGATAGTTTGGTTGGCTCCTGGGACAGACCCATAGAGAAATTGTGGCTGGAAAATCTAAGTTGTTAAATACACATATGAGGCTGTATAGTGGGATAGGAGATTAACTAGAGAGGAAAGCTTTCTCACAATGAAAATGTGTGCTAGGTTCTAAATCTAGACCACAGTTCCATTCACTCAAGTGTAATGTATTTTTATAAGAAGGGGTTTGTCTATACAGATCAATAGTGAAGTAGTGTTCTGGTCAATTTGGTTTGTAAATAGTAAAGACTAGAATAGCATATTGAGGCTTATGATGATTTAATGTTTCACCATAAATACTGAGCAGAAAATATTCTCCAAAGCACAGGGTTCCATTATGATAGATAGCATATTGGTAACTTTTTAACCAAGTGTGCCATTTCATCCATAACCCTTGGGACAGGCCCATTCAGGATAACATAAAATGAGGTACTCTGGGATTAATTCTCTAAACTTACTTCTTGAGAATTTAGGGTCTGAAATTTAAGTCAATAGTATAGTTTCAGACATCTCACCTTAGCAAATCAATGGTGTGGCTTGCGTGGGTA